CTTGCCACCACCGAGTTAATAAAGTTGATTTACCTTATTCACGCAAAATTGCATCTGTTCACTGGAAGGGATATTCATTTCTTTTTTTACAAATAGGGAGTACTGGGTTGGTTAATGACTGGTCTACTCGATGTTTCGTAGTTAAATTGTTAAGTTGTCAAACAGCGTTCTCTGTCTGATGGGAAAAAATTATCCATTAACCTTTCGTGCCGGTGGGTAGCCCTCGTTCTATTGGTAAAAAACCAGTCTTGTAGCGAATAGGCCTTTATTTAGAGCGTGGAACAGCACATCGTGGAGCTCCAGGTTACCTTTTTTCAAACACACAAAGCTCTTAGAACTTTCAATGTAAAATGATAGAAAATGTAATTCCTATACAAGGAAGTGATTTTATACTTGAGCTTTAATGTCCTGACATCTAGTAAGATATTTTTGATCGACTCTTAACCATTCAACCTATGTTGCTACAAACCTTCATTTATACCAAGTTAAGTGCTTGTCATGTTGTGTATTTGTACAATTAAGCTTTTCAGGAATCACTGGAGTGCATATATCTTATCTTGGTCTTTATGCTTAAATGGTACCATTGATGTATCCAGACTTTTAAACGTATATTCGTTGGCGTCATCCGACACCTAACGCAACAAATTTAAGAGATATGCATAAAATGCGGAGGTCCTGGTAATCTTTGCCCATACATGCCCTAGTACGTCGTATGCTTCAGAGAACTATTTCTTTAAATTAAAACAGCTGCTTATTGCATATGTCTTGGTCAGAATGCTTTAGAATTATCTCACATGATTTTAAAAGATGCTCTAAATGTACCTCAAATTTTTAACATTATGTCGAGAGTCAGTTTCAAGCTTTAACAGCGAATATTTAAAATAGGGTACTGAGCACAATTCTTGCGTATGAAGTTTATTAAGCAGAGATGGATAGTTGCTAGCAGTGGAATCTATGACGTTCATTTCGTCCTATTAAACACTCGTCAGCTTAATATACTCGAACAGCAGGCTTGGTGAAGCAAGGGCCGCATTCCTGCAATTGGAAAACATATGAAATAAACGGAACATACAGAAACAGCTGTCTGCATGCCAACATCAAACTCAGAATCTTCATTATGAGGAGCTGAAACTTGGGGCAATACCACAACCACCACTAAGACGTACGAGTATTTATAAACAATTGTGTACGCAAAATATTCAATGTTCGTTGACCGGATACCATCAGCAACAGCCTACTGTGGAATAAAACAAACAAGCTTACAGGTGAAGAGGAAATAAAGGAAAGACGATGGAAGTGGATAGGACGTACATTTACAGATGGACAGAATATATCGGAACAATAATTTTTCCGAAACGTGTAGTTACTGTTACAAAAATAAACTCGTAAGATCAACTAGGAACAGAAAAGAATTGAGCATTATGAATAAGCATTAATTACTTGACAAAGATTAAAGAAGATCCTGACAAGCCAAGCACAAACACGACTAGTTTACTAGTTACGAAGTGAATGAAAAGTCTGTAATAATCTCCCAGTGTTTTGTTTTACATGTTCTCGTACGTATTTGTATGCTAATTGGCAAATATCTCTGATTGTACAAGCTTTTTAAAAATGACCGTTTTTACTCTTAGATGTAAAGTTGTTATTTAGACTCCTCCACTCCTAGGATTTCAAAATTTTGGTCGCATCCGGAACTGTTATTGCAATTCGGCCTTTTAGACGTTTCAAATAGTTTTATGTTTGACGGACCACATTATTTTGTTTTTACTTGATTTCTTACTCTATCAACTGCTACCTCAAATTGCCCTGACTTGATTATTACTCTTTGAACCGAAAAGTACAGATTAGTGTTCTCTGATCGACGGGGACACGTCTCCGTTACTTTGAATAGAAACAAATGTGGTGTGATTTAGCAATTTATCTACTTTATGGAATTCAAATTGTATGAGAATTATTGTTTGAACGCTTATATTTGTGTGGGAAAGCCTCATGCATGCACTCCATGTGGCAGCGTTACCTTGTTACCTTTTGTACGTAATACTTTCTCTGTCGCCTCCTGTATTTCAGCACATCACGTTCATTTTCTTACTTTTACCTGTTATCATAACATTATACTGCTTATTGAGTCGATTAATAAACGTTTGTTTTAATTAACATCGCCGGCGAGACCATAGTTTATGGACGAACCAATTACGTATAAAGTAACAGGTCTCGGATTTTGACGCAAAATTTACTCATCCATTCGGATAAACAGAGTTTTGGCATTATAGTTGATGTCAGTTCGTGATGAAAAACCGAAATCTAATTCCTAACCTTAATCATCAACTGTAAATTAATTCTAATTCCTCACACTGGTTTATAACCCTCATTTGGTTGTACTTCTTTGATGGACACTCTCAAGGTCCGTCTGGCTTCGCTCAAGGGTTGTGCATAAATTAGTCTTACCACATTGCCTTTTGGTGGCTGCCATATTAGACTAACATACTTTGGTTGACCGTGTAAACTGGTTGCTTATACTCTCTGTTGGTGCCAGAGAAGCCCGAACCCAGCTTGTTTTGGGAATGATTGATGTTTGTATCCGGTGGCTAATTACACTCCTCATAATGTTATTAGTTAGGAGTTGGTCGCTAATCTCTCAAAAAATTGAATGCTGTATTTCTATGAAATGACTATTTCAGTCGTACATGATTTTGCGGCTGGTGTGATTACCAGATACAATGCTTCCAGTTGTGCCCACTATATTCTCCTTGTCTTCGACATGGGTATACAAACTACTCTTAGCCACTCTGAATTTCATTATTACTGATTATCATATCGAATCAACTTATCTTTTTCTTTGGGTACAATAATGTCCCTTGAATAATAGGAACTCTGTTCTTATTTTAATTATCTGATCATACCAATGAACATGTATCTAACCTCCTACACGAACAGGCTTACAAACGCAATGCGTTCAGTTAAACCTGTTTCCACTCGACCGCAATCAACTGATGTTTTCGTTCAACCTGTCCTACAATGTAATACACACGTGTTTATACGTCGCTACTCACTTCTACAACCTCTCAAAAAGGTATATGAAGGACCCTTCAAAGTTCTTCAGCGTGAACTTGAGTACTATACAATCGATAAGAACGGAACTAACGATAACATCCACATCGACCTTATCAAAGCAGCATATTGAAAAGGAGACCCATCCACGTCGACTTTCCCTCGGTACACTCGGAAGACACGGATCTCGCAATTGCGATACCTCACCCAATAATCAACATTCCCGACGACGTGTTGGTGGTTTATGAAAACCGACTCTAAACAACACGTTCTGAATGAAGAGTGAGGTTTCCGGAACACCCAAGTGAGTACTTCACTTAGGACAGTATATAGCATTTTGTTTCGTCTTGAAATTTACGTACTAATGTGTCAAGTAACAAAAATAAATTATTTTCAATTTGCCTGTATATATTTATTATTTTCATTTAAAAAAAATTCGAAGGTAAAGCTTCTTGTTGTTAGTGTGCTTGCTTGTATGTGCATATTTCTATTTTATCAAAAACCAAACATTCTTTCTGCGAAAATCGTATTTACGCTGTGACATGTTTGCGAAACGCATGTATATAGGTTTATTTTCCTTTTTGTCTTCACGTATGTACGAGTTTAATTAGACATGCGCTTACATATATTCTCTTTCTCTTCTCCAGGACGGCTGGAAAAGACGAAAAACCGACGAGGTTGAAATTTTCATCGTACATGTTTCTTCGTCAATATAGTGTACCACATGACCCCTCATAGTAACGAAAGACTACCAAACGCTCCTGAACACAGTAAGCCATAAGAAGAGTGTTTACCAACGACAGACATGTTGGTTTTAAATTCCCGGCTAGCCGTGTCTTAAGGTCATCATTACCCCACTAGCTCCGTAAGTCTTCGACATCTGGTGCTGACCACATCACTTTGGGTGGACTAACCTAACTGGAGGCGCTCGAACACACATCTACACCAGAACACGAGTAGGTACTCTGTGTTAAACTTATTCTACAACCGCTAGTCAGTCTAAACCAGTCGATTCTCGATATATTGATAGCCTGTCAAATATATCTTCGAACCTCCTGGCTCCTGTCTTTTGATTTCACTTGGTGGGTACGATTCATAGTAGAAGGTGTTACTGGTTAAAGCATTGTCAAACTAAAAATACCTGTGGCATATTCAACTGTGTTCCTCTTCGTAACTTTGGGATGCATCTGAGATTTTAATGCACACCTACGAAATTTAATTAATGCTTTATATAATGAAATCTCTACCACTTATTACTACTTTTGAAACGATGCCAAAACTTAAGAAAGGGTTCCGAGAAGGATAATCTAAATGATGTCTCAATTAAAAAGTAAATCTAACTTCTTTAACCCAAAACAACAAAGTTTCGGACTGTGGAGGACCGGAATATTAGGTAGAACTTCAAGTGGGATGGAGTATTGATCTCATAATTCAGTTCTCAAAGACTGGTCCTCATTACTTAGTTATTAATTTCACTAAACATATGAAAGTACGCACAAATGTCTATGCAAATGTCCATGAGATTGAGATGTGTAGACTGCGGAGTTCAGTGCCTGAAAGAACCGTAATGGGATTCTTGCGAAATGATGTTCAACTCTTATTCCAAAGGTATTGGGGGAAATAATTGTTGTCGTTATTATTATCAAACACTACTATGAACTGATGTTTTATCTTTCAGAGTTCCTAGAGAACTGAAACGAGAAATATACTCCTCATGATCAGGAAACATATTATGAAATGTAGACGCAGCCCCTTGGGAAACAAAAATTTGGTATTTCTTCCCAGTGGTGTTTTTGAGCAAAAATTCTATTTTTCCTTGCAACATGACTCACTGGTGCGAAGATTTATGCCTAAATGTTTTCATGGATCGTTGTTTCTTATCAACATATTTTAGTCTGCAGTCGCTTTTACTAACGTAACCGCTGCATGGAACGATTGGACATTGTTTTTGACCTCGGAGAGCGTAAGATAATTATGTTGGCGGTAACTTCAGGTGTTTTCTGTCAAGATAGAAACAGCCTTTCATTTACAATTTCGGATTGATTGTTTGGTCCGGTACCATTATTTTGGGCATTCGCAGTTGAGTTGAAACTCATCCTTTCGTAGAATTTACTTCAGCAGCAATCGAGTTGCTCATTACATTTGGATGGTTGGTGGTTCGGTTTTAATGACATGGATATGGTTTGTTCCCATACTATGACAAATCTACTTGCTCAGAAATACCTAAGGCTTACATGAGTTTAAATACAAAATCATCCAGCAGAATCAATGGATGGTCGTTGCCAATTCATCCTTTACAATGTCTATCCTGGTTCGCTACTGCTCTGTTCTCGATAATCTACTTTGGAATACTCGTCCCATCTATCGTCATTCGAGCCAGAATTCCTCTTTTTGTTGTATCCTTCATATACCCGATTGTGACTGATGAGTATCGATCCCCAAATATTGTGGTATATGACATGGGAAATTTCCTTAGCTCACCTAGTGTTTTGTCTGGGTGTGATTAACCAAGCTAAAAGCCACCTAGCACACTAAGACCGACGAAAAATTAGCGAAATATTTGATTAGTTCTTATAAATGCATTTGTTCTATTTTGTTACTTGTATAATCATGGGGAGGTCAAAACTAGTTGCAAATGTATGTAATAGCTGGTTGGAGTTACTTCATATAACAATTCAGTCATTAAAGCATTCAATGTGCATACGCTGTGTTTAATAAAAAAATATGGCAGATGTTGGTAGACTGAATAGGTTAAAGTATTACAGCTAAATGAGGTCAACTTTAAAACCTGTCGTCATTTGCTTGTACATGCTGTATGCCAATAGTGGGATATTTCAATAGACGTAAAAGAGCAATAATATAGGGACCCATAGTTGCCTGCATTGATTAGGTTTGGGTTGCGTTCTGACATCCCTGTTCTGTATAAATGTTTACATACAATAGTTTTAGTAATGTTCAGGAAAAAATATCTTAGCTAGTGAAGACACTTTCAAATAGTACTTTAAATGTTATTTTGGTTATTAATGTTACGTTCAGAGATTATTGTTATTTAGGGACCATTTTGTGTCATTTCTATGATCCTAGTACTTCCCCCTTTCCTTGGTGAGGAGGTTTGTCACGATTGTCTCATTGTAATAAACTCTATCCATCCTTAATTCATGCATTAGATCAATGCCGTGTGTATTGCTGCTTATATTGTTCTTAATATAATTGCGGTGAGTATTAATCCAGCTGATACGGCTGTCAGAGAAAAACAAAAATCGCGTGGAAATAAAGTTTCCTCTTTGGATCCTAAACATGTACATGTGATTGAGAACTTTTATTGTAATTTGTGTGAGCTGCCAATGTAAGTATTTCCTGTTCTGTGGTGTTTTTTGTGTTTATTGACTTGTTATTTTCAAGCCTTTATTTTTCGTAATGGATGATTGGGCCTGTTTGTGTGATTTCAGTACTCAACTCCCCAAGTTGAGAAGCTGAGTATCTCACTTACTGCCAACTAATGTTTAAGAACGGACTAGTATCGATGCACTAATGTTTTAAACCCTATCTTCCGCCTAAGGATTAAAAGTGGTGGCATTCAGCTGGTTGTATCTCAGATAAAGATCATAAGAGATTATCTGTATCATTGTCGTTTAACTGTCACCCCCAGTTAGGCTTACAGAATTATATTACATAGAAGACTATCCACTGTAACCCACTAAAATAATACTACTCTCTTTGTCGTGGGAAGGGATGTCATTGGGTGCTTTACAATGTCACCATGAGCAAAACTTTCGGGCCACCAAATAAATAGACAAATCACTTTATTTTGTTATTATTTAAACGGCGATTTTTAATAATACAGAATACTTCAGTAACAAGGCTTTCGTATTTCCCACATAATGTTGGTTCTCTTATTTTCGCTAAGTTGTGGACGCAAATGAAAAACTTAAGTAATATACGTCAGGCGGACAGTATTGACAAGTCAGATTTTTAGCTACCTTGTAGGACTTAAGCTTGACAGCGATAAGTTGTCTCATAAAACGAAAATTAGTGCTGAAAATCAAATTGATGTGGAACGGATATTTTTTGTGAATATATTAGTGGCACTATGATTAGTTTTCATCACAGAGTAATGTTTTCATTTTTGACTATCTTAGAATGTGTATAGTCTGCATTGCTATCCATGCGCGAAATCTGAAGTTAATTGTCGATTTGATAAATCACTCTTGATCCCTTGAATCTAATCCAAAGGATGAGAGTGAAGAGTCAGTATTTGCATTCTCACTGCACTAAGCTTTTCGTATAGATTGATGTCACTAATCATATAAACTGTCATGTAAGTCACATTGGCTTGCCCTCGTCCGTAAATCTTGTGAAATGTATTGTCAAGAAAGGTTAGCAAAATCCAGTTTGTGCGAACACCAACAATTTTTTGTTGGACATAGTAAATTAAAGCTGTTCATCATAATCTTATGTGTTGCCGATAATGAATTGGAATCATTCAAGCGTATAATTTCGAATATGCGTGTTTATTTTTTCACAAGTAGTTCTGAAAATGATATTTGAAACATGATACTGTTGAACACTTTGTGCATGTGTACTGATTCATGCATATTAGCCTTTTTTTGTCCAAAAGTTCTTCATTTTACACTAAGTAGTTACCAAAAACCTAGAAAAAGTGTTTTATGTAACTAAAACTAAATAAATTGGTAAGATTATTTATATCATATGTAATAAATAGGTTTTATTCCTATTGGTTTAAAAAACACTTGTTTCCTTTTATTCAGCTCAAGTTCCCGAACAAAACACTGCAAAAGTTGCAACAAATGTATCGCTGATTTTGATCATCATTGTAAATGGCTTAATAATTGTATAGGTAGTCGCAATTATACGTAAGTTTTTACATAAATTTTGTAATATATTTGAGTCATTGATACCAAATCATTCCCTGAATCAGATGTTCTCCACCATTAGTCTTTAATAATCTACATAGTTACCTCCCCTTCTGTCCAAAGGTATACACTTTTTTACGTAGGTGGTCTTCCTAGTTTTCCAGAAATATATATGTAAATCTTTACGTATACCAAATTGTTGTATCTACTATTGGCTTATGTGTTTATATACTCGTATTTATTTGCCATCCACGTTTTTGAGAATTATATGGCTGACTTATTGAATTTATTAAAAACAGGCTGAAATTAGTATTTTCGTGGAAAATAATTCATCTGTTTTACATTTGTGTATGCAACTAAACCTTACTCACTTTTTGTGTTAAGTGGTTATCAAAGTCCATAATTCAATGTTTTTCCCTCTATATATGTTTAATTTGAGTATAGATATTTTGCTGGGATAATCACAATGGCTTGTCTGTCACTTAGTATATCCACGAGTCTTTCTCTGTCCTTGGCTGTCGCATATTATTCAGATCGTCCATATGGATATTGGATACAAGCATATCAGGGTGAGTTCTACTAAAACTTTCATTCCGTGACATTTGGCAGCGTAAGCCACAAAAGCAAGAATATTACATTCGAATAGTTCAGTATGAAATTTCCTGGATTTATTGTATTATTTTTCTATTGAAATATCCATATGTAGAATGTGAATTTATTGACCCTAGCATTGCTATCTCAAATATACATCAGTGATAAAGATTGAGGTCATTTCTATTGATTTGTCATCAGTATAAAATGAAAATACACCAGTGTGTTGTTTGTTCAACTAAATAATTACATGTTTATTTAGAGCGATGGCATCTAATATTTTCCATTTTGTTTTTCTAGTAATTTTCATTGTTTATTTTTGATTTATAACATATAAAAGTTATTGACTAAATGCACAACCTTATAAAAATCTATGCATAACATTCACCAATATCGTTCTCATTGTGATTGTTTCAAAAAAATATCATCCGAAATGGATTCGTTAACAAAGCGTAAACTACAAGTATTGTTACTGTGAAATGAAATCTGTTTTTTATTGGAACTATAACTCAAAAGTTGGAGAGATATCGAGTTTCCTTAACACTTCTGAATCAGTAGTAACAGAGTTTTTGTATCTTCTTTTTGTCCACACTTCCCGTTTTCACTTCATTTTTCTTTTACCTTTTATAATATTACTCCCATTTTACTCTCAAGAATTTTCAAGATTTCAATCTGATTTATCCTTCTAACCGTTTAATCCATAAATTGTATCAGAGACCAGTTAAGTTTTGTAAACCGATTCTCCGTGCAGAATACTGGTTATGCTAGCTCGAGTAAAAATTTAAAGCAATTAGTCCCTTTGATGAATTTCGATAGTGTAATAAGAAGACGAAGATTATCAGAAATATGTGATATATTAGCACAATACATTTCGAACAATTTGATCACACATATACTTGTTAAGAACATTTATATACAAGAAAATAAGAGGTCAACTAGACTAGAAATGAAGGGAGGGAGGAGATAAAGATAGTAAAGAAACCTGGATAATAAGCTAATATTACCAGGATAGGTTTAAGGTGAGAACAAACTGTTTTTAAATACACAGAGGGGGTTTAAGTTTTCGTATGGCTAAGGCTTCAATAAGCCTTAGTATACACCCTTTTACACTTATGTACAACATCAGAAAAGCCGAGTTAGGATAGTTCTTATGACCTGTTTCAGCTATGTGTTTGGCAATAAAGGATGATGGATGTTTATCCTCTACTTTTATTGCGTTATTTGATTCTACTTGTTTCTGCAACGATTTAGGCACATGTTCACACACCCTAATTTTGAGATCACGATTACTCCTCCCCATGTATGTGTGACCACACACATCTAAATTGGTAAACACAGTGGGATGTGGCGCAATCGTTTTATTATCTTTGAGGTTCTCGATGAAGCATGGACCTTGTTTCCTTGATAATTACCTCCGCTGCACAATATATCTTGTCAATGACTGATTTAAGCCTTTGTTTCAATAAAAGGCTATTTGAATCACCTCGAAATGCTAAGGTGATGTAGACAGACCTTTTCTCTGCCAAAGTTATAGTAGGTCTCACTGCACCATGAACTTTCCATCTATTTATGAATTTAAGAGGATAGCCATTTCTCATTAATGTTTTATTTAGCAACCTGACATCATCATCAATGGCGTCACTTGTACAAATACGATCAAGCCTGTTAAATAGGCACCTTATCAAACCCCGTTTGTATTGGTTGATCGTTTAAGTGAAATTAATAACAAGGAAAAGACAATGTGTTCATTTAATGTGAATTCCTTGATCACAACTTAACCTTTGATAAAGACTATTAACATATTATATGACTACATATCTTTAAACAAAATTAAATTACCTGTCCCTTTAAAAATTCTTAAAGATTTACTATTATTATATACGCCCCCAAATGCCCTGGTACGGCCAAGAGTGGGGAGAGTCCGTTCTCCCTCTCGAAATGCTCTCACATGGCCACGCGTACATAGCCTCTGCCAGGGAAGTCCTACTCATTGCCTCCTCGTTGCGGGGGTGTTGTTTACGGAATTGCGAGGACGAAAAGCCAATGTCCGGCGCTTTAACCGGGTTGGTGGATATGGATGATCCACTTAGGAGAGTTGGAAAACCCTGATTCAAAACCAATGGTGCACATGGGCTCCAGTATCCTGCCGGAACAAATGGCGTATGAACCAATCGTTGGTCACCGGCTACCATGGGAATGCATCTCCTCACGATGCTACACTGCCTTGTGGATCAGACCTTCAGGTCGAAGGCTCCGGGTGTGGCCCCCTAAGAAAGCCATCTGCTTCGGTCTGGGCACCCGGGCAGTATCACAGCCCTCGCACATATCAAATGAGATTTATGTGGCGCATATGTATTTGGTGCCTCCTTGTACCAATATCTATGTGTTCAAATAAATAATAAATTATTATATACTGACAAAGTTCAGTTCACTTTTGAAGGTAAATACTTTCGCCAGATTGATCGGGTTGCTATGGGTAGTCCGTTAGGACCATTGTTAACAGATGTGTTCATGGCACGTGTTGAAAATCTGGCTGAAGATCTAATCGAAAACATGTCATTTTACCATTGGTTTTTGTCATTCCACTCTATTTGAGACGATAACACAATTGGTGTCACCATCTTGAAACATAGACTTCGGTGGCTTGGACATGTTCTATGAAAGTCGTCCCAGAGAATTCCACGTCGTGTGTTATTTACCGACGCTGGGGCTGGTTGGAAAAAGCGGAGAGGTGGTCAATGTATGACATGGTGTCGGGGTATCAAAGAAAACTGCGAAGAAATGGCTTCTGTTGGTCCTTCGCGACTCCATGGTTGGGGTCCGAAAGATGGTGCAACATTGGCTAGAGACGTTATCAGATATGGCTCAGACTAGAAGCTAGTGGCGATCCTGCTGTAACCTTCTTTTAATTTCTTCATAAGAAGTGGTTGTATCTTCCTTAACTGAAAGATTTCTTCTGATTGTACCTTTCCGTTTCCCCCATTATCATTATTAGTATTATTATTATTAACACTACCTTACACTAACCTGTGATCGTTATTGTTCTTTTTTTCTTATACGCACCTTGCCTTCTTTTTTCTCTCCCATTCTCATTGTTTTGTGTGGCGCATATATATCTGGTTCCCCCTACTAATGGAAATAACATTCTCGTCGACTGAATTCTCGTGTATTGATCTCCTTCCAGGAGGTTCACTTATCGACTTAGAATACGCAGATGATATAGTCCTGTTTGGTGAAGACGCTGATAAAATGCAGAGTCTTCTGGTAGCACTGAGCAACAATGTCAGGATGTTTGGGATGCGTTTCTCCCCCTCTAAATGCAAGTTTTTGCTTCAGGACTGGTTTGCGTTAACACCTGAACTAAGGATAGGGAGTGAAGTAGTTGAACGCGTTGACAACTTCACTTATCTTGGAAGTCTGATCAGCCCTAATGGGTTGGTGTCTGACGAAATCTCAGCAGGGATTCAAAAAGCTCGTTTGGCTTTTGCCAACTTACGTCACCTGTGGCGAAGGCGAGATATCCGTCTATCAATAAAAGGACGAGTAAACTGCGCGGCAGTCCGTTCTGTTTTAATTTACGGCAGCGAAACATGGCCATTAAGAGTAGAGGACACTCGTAAGCTACTAGTATTTGACCACAGATGCCTTAGAAATATTGCTGGCGTCTGCTGGGATCACCGGGTAAGTAATAGTGAGGTTAGACGCAGGGTATTAGGGAATGATGGTAAATCAGTTGATGAGGTTATGAATCTTCATCGACTGAGATGGTTGGGCCACGTATTACGTATGCCTGAACACCGATTACCACGACGTGCAATGCTATCCGGGGTAGGTGATGGTTGGAAGAAAGTTAGAGGCGGCCAAATCAAAACGTGGCATCAGTGCATGAAGGCACTAACCTCTAGTCTGAGCCATGTTGGCAGATGCAGACTACTTGGTTGGGGTCCGCGTGACTTTCGTAACCGATGGTTGGAGACTCTGTGTGACATGGCTCAGAATCGATCACAATGGTGTCGGTGTATACACTCCCTGTCTTCCCTTAAACTAAGAGATTAAAATCACTTCATATCTTTCTTTCTACTAACTGATTCTTTCTTCCTGTACTGTATCCTTATATGCAATCTTTCTCCTATATATTACCATCTTTGACCTAACTACTCCTATGAATCCGGTGTTCATCTTGCTGAGGTATGGCAACCTGGACCGATGCATATATGTGCCTGGTCCTACGTTGTAGCTGACTGACTGATTGCCCCCTTGTACCAATATTTATGTGTTCAAATAAATAAATAAAATAATAAATGATCATTGGTTTCGACCTCATGATATGAAAATGCTAATCGCGGTTATTTTACATAAGTGATTTTTTGTTGCACTGATTTTATAGTTGATTCTAAATAATTTATTCGTTTAATTCCATTAGTTGGGTGTATTCAAATTCATCATGTTCTTCGATTACTTGTCTGCATTTGGTTCATGGAATTTTCTTCATTGGTAAAACATGTTTTTTTGCAGTTTAACTGTTCAGCTTAATCAAAGTTTATTCATTAAATCTATCATTGAAGTTATTTCTGTATGATTTGTAGTATCTAAAAAAAAGCAAAGCAATCATTGAAATATTTAGTCAATAACAGACTTAAAAGGTATATGCAAGGAGAGAAAACATTCTTATTCCTATTCTTACTATTAATTGTGGTTAGAGTAGGTAAAATTTATTTTATTCACAACGATTCACTACGCGTATAAACTCCCTTAATTGTAGCATACAAAATGTTTTAGTGAAAAGCCACGCCTAATCATCATTGTTTAATGATAGTTAACTGCTAATTTTTATTGGCATAGGTAATAATAAGATTATTATTTAATATGACATGTTATGATCATATTGCCTACTTATTATAACGAATATTAATAACAAAGAATTCAATTGCCATAGACTTCATAGGCTTTTTCTCTTTTAAACTTCCTGACATTTTTAAATTGTCAATAATTTCCTGAATTTAACGTGTAATTAGCTCATAAATTTAGTCCGATTATTAATGGGTCAATTCTGAATTGTAAAATAAGACAGTTAATTTTTTGTTTTAACATTCTCTTTTCTTACTTATAATATAGTTTGCAATGAATGATTACTTTCAACTGATAATAGTCTCATTCATTTTAACAATATTTATGATTACATTGATTCGCCTATGATTATTTTGAAATGAATTCTGAAAACTGATTGTAAATGATATTCAGATCAAACAAATTAATAAGTTTCAAACCATAACAACCTAATATTTGTTGAACATTTAAGTGAAATTTAAATATGTAAATATGTCTTATCGTCTGTGTATATTCTTCAAAGTTTGTGCTAATTCGGCGATACTCTAATTTATGGACGAACCGACCACGTATAAGATATTAGGTCTCGGATTTTGGCGCGAAGTTCATTCATCCATTCGGATAAACAGAGTTTTGGCATTATAGCTGATGTCAGTTCGTGATGAAAAACCGAAATCTAATTCCTAACCTTAATCATCAACTGTAAATTATAATTCTAATTCCTCACACTGGTTTATAACCTTCATTTGATCCTGGTAATTAAGTGGACACGCTCAAGGTCAGTCTAGCTTCTCTCAAAGGTCGTTCCTAAACTATAGTCTCACCTCTAATTCTTTTTACCGTAGTGTTTGTTTTGTTTTGTCGAAATTTTTTAAAATATAAATGCAGAAATTTATGAATTAAGTAGTATAATCTATTGAAGACATATTTATTTTTAAATCAGAAAGTAGTCTTATTATTGATAATGTAAAGGATTTTGATAAATTACTGAGGATTTTTGTAAACCGCAAAACTTATCAAAGTTAAAGGTAAAAGAATAAATCACTATTACTTCATTAATTCGAAATTTTTAGCTCTAACTTTGTTAATTTCTGGTTTTTGTACTGATAGAAGACTGGTAACTGAAACCCAATACACCAGGTACTACACTGTTTATAATTGAAAAACTACTTGCATAGACTTCCTATGAAATTGATTTTATTCTTAAGTATTTTTCACTATTTTAGTCGTAGCACTATTTTTATACCTATTCAGATCAACATAATGCGTCGTCTGTATAATCACATTACTGATTTTTAAAAAGGACTTAATTCCATTCCTATGAAACACATTGTAATTGCTAAATATTTTTATGGTTATGATAGCAGATAGAAGACTGACCAATATCTTAATAGCTAAGTTCATTGAATCTTCATTAACTTCCAGATATAATTACATAGTAATAGTTCATACTATTTATGAGTTCTTATAATGTTTATTTTGTCCTATATATTGCATAAAAATATGTTATTATTACTGAGTAGAATGGACCTTTTGTTGACCAGTTATACTGTATTTCACCCTAAATCCACATGTGCGCTTCATGTCAATGTTTTGGTTTTGGTAACCAATATGCACTGTGCCAAATTTCACAAACTGTACAGTAACGAACATTATAATTCTCCACTGTAACAGTTAAACAAGTATGAAATATTATTACATCATTCATATGAAGATAAAATGTTGACCTAGGTCACCTATTTAGTAAATACAAGTGATGTGTATCAACTGTCAGTTAAACATTGTCAACGATCGAATGTATGATATAATTATCCATACATATTATGATATTAATACTCTTACACCTGTATATATAATTGGTCAGTTATTTAATCGTGCTTGTTAAACGTTGGTATTTATTATTTCTGCCAAATACAGTTTTCCGGTTTCCTTATTCATAAATGCTTCAACCCAACATCATATTTGAACAATAAAATAAAAATTTCTTAAGAAATCATTAAACCTACAAGCGTGGTATCAGTGCTTGAATTCACCAACTTCTCGTCTGAGCCATGCTGGTAGATACAAACTACTTGGTTGGAGTCCGCATGACTATCGTAACCAATGGTTGAAGACTCTGGGTGACGACTCAGAATTGATCACAATGGCCTAGGTGTATACACTCCCTGTCTTCCCTTAAACTATGAGATTAAAATCGCTTCATACCTTTCTTTCTACGAACCAATTTTTTCTTCTTGAACTATATCTCTATATGCAATCTTTCTCTTATATATTACCACCACTGAATTAACTACTTCTATGAATCCGGTGTTCATCTTGTTGTGCTAATGAGGTATTGCAACCTGGACCGATGCATATATGTGCCTGGTCCTACGTTGTAACTGACTGACAAGCGTAAACTTTGTAGTTATTGTTAAATTTAATTCATCACACCTATTTGTGCTAGGTTGTATTAACACAACTTCCATTCAAAATATATAGACATATATACCTATGCTGAATATTTATTATTTGTTGCTTGAGTCAACGCATTTTTATGTATTGGCAAAATAAACCCTTAAATTACCTCACTAGTTAAACATGCCAAATGTTGGTAGTGCCATAGTGAGTTTATATTGAGCTCCCCTATTAGTTGTATTTTTTGTGGGGGTATGAACTGAAACATTATTAGTCCAGATTTTTGTCTTTATAAAGGCATTAGACTAATATTCACCAACATGGACATCATGTTGGATAATGTGTTGTTTACAGTGTAGTACACGCATAAAACAAGTTTAAATTTCTGAATTCATTTTTCGTATATCAAATGCCGGATCAACGTAATGGATTATCTGGGATAGCATTTGATGTCATCGTCATTTTACTCCAACTGTAAAGTGCGTTGGTAAACAGGGTTGCATTAAGTGTAATCTATGGTTTTAAAGCCTGGCCTTTCTTATCTAAAAATGTTGGGTTATTCTGTTCATTTAATTGTTGCTGTCTTTTTATGATTAGTCGCATTTAGTGTCGATACCAAATGTGTTATCCTAAGTTTCAAAAATGTGTTTGGTAACCAACCTTTGAAATCGTCTTCAGACACTAGCCTCTGAGGATCTGGTATGTTTTACGTATTCACTTCGATATTTCTCGTGCTGAGTACTGGTCCAGCTATTCATTAATGAAGGGATTATTTTGTGATGTCATTCTAGGGTGAACGAATCTTGATCAAGTTATCGTCATGATTCTCTCTGAGGAGATCAGAAAAATTACTCAACTCAGTAGTTTAAAGGGAAACCTAAAATCAAAATAGATAACTATTGTTTAGTGTTTTGCGTCTTTATTTTACATAAATAGTAATATATTTTAATCGAAGTAATATCTACTTCTATTCTGTTTTTATTTATCCTGGTTTCCTTAAATATTGTTATGATTAGATTACTTTTCCCCTTCCACAAAAATATCAGCTGTTGTTTTGTACCTCATTCTATCTAATTATTACTTTTGTGTTAAGAAGAAATTATTAGAAATATACGTTCAGATATTGAATTGTTTGTCATACATTTTTTGTTATTGCTTTTTTGTCTTATCAGATTACTGGCAAACATTCACCAATGGGACCATTGAACATCTAGATTATTTAATAAACAATGGTAAGTGCTGTTTTTGGTATATGTTCCTCTTAACTATGATATTTCTTAAAAAGCTCGGTCTTCTAACCGCATCTTCTATTTTTTAAAATGTTATTATTTCAAATACAAAATTTTGACTGTTAACATATGTTACACATGTTTTCAATATTCAATAAATTATCTGAAAGTTCTGTATTCATTGGACCCTCTGATTATGGTTTGGAATAACGTAACTCACCATTCAAACGATTTACAACATCTGATCGTCCTTTAACTATTTTAGCAGATATCATACTCATGTTATCACTATATGAACAAGTATTTTTCAGTTCTAGCAGTTAACTTCTGAGTGTGTTCACATTAGGCGGTCAAAGATATTTAACCGTTTGTTAATTACCTAATTTCTAATTTATGAAATTCATCAACAAAAGAACTTTGCAGTATCTAAATTTACCTGTTCCAAAGGGTCCAAATATAAGCTACCACACTGATGTGGAGCGTGCTAAGTAGAACTGACACACATCTATAACAGTTATATATATTATATAGCGAGCATGTAGTTCAGTAGATCACTCTATCATTATAACTGTGAAATGCAGCTTATGAAAGTGGGAAACATATATAGGTTGCGATTATTTGTGTTAGCACCCATCAATTTTTTACCTCATTAAATTAATTTTAATACCGTAACTCTTTGGCGTCCAAGTTGAAAACAAAAAATCAATTACTTGTGGGTTTAGACTTAGCACCAGCACGTAGGTAATACTAGTTCTTGCACGATATCTCCACTATTTAGCATGCCTTTTCAGTGGTCGTTAAACATTCAAAGTCGGCTTGAATATCTGGAGAGATCTTATCTGTCAGATAGTCGTCCCTACAATTGTTTTTATATGCCAACAATCAAACTTATTTGTAGTTTATATGTTTATGTATTTGAAAACGATGTTACTCCTTTTAGAGGGATAATCTGACAAACATATTGAGTTGAGAAAATGTGCTGAATAAGATATCTTCAATCCAATGCATTTATCGTTAATGGTTTACTTAATCATTGTCAAAGCAATTACGAAGTAAATAATCATCCTATGAGATTGAGTTTTTCTTGTTTACTTCATATAGTTATTCATTAAAAATCGGAGCATTTATATTAAAATAAAGCTTTCCAAATATTTTTTTCCGCAGCCTTTGTACTTAATATCTGCTAATTGTCATGCTGATTGACTAACCTATTTAAAAATAATTTGTACTTGACTGTTATCGTGATTTATAACCACTTGGCTTTTTTTAAAGTAGGGATTCACTACATCTGTACTAAGTTTTAGCGGACCTTTCAAATAAACATTTTTGTCATTGTTTTGAATCACCCTCAGTTTTTATCCCATCATACTTATAAATTATGTGTTTATTTCATGTATATATTTTTTCGTAACTGGTTACTGACTTCTTATTTCAACATTGGAATTCATAGATGGAGTTTTCCGCATATTCGGTTTAAATTCATCTGGATTGGTTTTCTTTATAATCGCTATTGTTGGATGTTTATTTACTTTTTGCATTGATGCCTTTTTGGTGCATCTAATAATCTTTCATATATACTTGTGTAAGTTTATAATGTGTTAAGTATTCTCGTTCTGTTTCCGTAGCATTTGTCAAGGATGTAGCACTCATTTCTCTCGTGTTTTCTTACTCTTAGCTCTCCACCTCAGAGCTTTCTGTCTATTGTATACTGACCCTGACATTTGAATATTGTCCTTTGTTCTGATCTTGCGTCCTATTGACTGTAATTGTTAAATTATCTGTTCCTGGAATTTCAGCTATTAGAAGAAGGTCAAGTAGACCGTGCCAAGAAGCCAACAGCAGTGTACGGATTGTAAACAAACTAAGGACATCGAAACATATCAATTTGACGTTGTTTACGGATAACTGTATATCGTAGACTGTTGGGTGAAAACAACTGTAGTTTTCATGCACGTATTTCGTGTCTATGGTGTTACATGGTTGTCGTTTTGAAGGAGCTCAGCACTAATGAATTTAGTTAGTCAATCAGTCATACTCAACGTAGATCCTTGCACTTGTGTACATTTGTTCAAGTTGTTAGACTTCATTAGCACAACAAGATGAAATTGTCAGGACAAATCTCAGAGTAGTAGAGGCAATAACAGTATTAGTGGTAATCGAAAAGATTATGCATCCAAGATACGAATCGACTAAATTTAAATTAGTAAAATAGATTTCAAAATTTTACGGGAAAGACAAGGAGTGAATGCAACTGCAATATTGCGTACGATTCCGAGTCATGTCATTCATGTCATTACGATAATCATGCGATCCACAATCATGTAGTTGGTATCCAGCTACAAGTGTCTGAGTCCAAGAAACAGTCTTTGTGTGTTGTTTTTGGCTACGTATAGCTTTCTTCCAACCTATTCCTACAATAACTGTCATCGCAGGTCGAGGTAGTTGGTGTATGGGCCCACGTAATACAGGTTTTAGCCATCTCAGTCAATAAAGATTCCCTACCTCGTCAATCACATGGCACAAGTCCATGAAGTTACTGACAAAAGGACTGAGCCATGTTAGTAGGTGTAGACTACCTGGTTGGGGATCGCGAGATGATAACAACCGATGGTTAGAGACCCTGAATGACATGGCTCAAAATCGTTTGCAATGGCGCAGGTGCATCCAATTGTTGTGTTCTCCCAAATTCTAATCACCTGAATCCTCCTTGTCTTTTTTTTCTCTTTCCAAATCTATTTTACTGGATTATACTCTTTAAATAACATATTCAAACCCTAATCTTTCCGATTACTGCTTATACTCTTACCGCCTCTACCACTACGGGATTTGAATCGACCACTGCATCTCTGTGCTAATGTGGTATGGCAACTCGAACTGATGTACGTACGTACGAAGTTCTACGTTGTTACTGACTGACCTCGTCAATGGATTTGTAATCATTACATGGTACTCTATGTCCGACCTCAAAATCGCTAACTCGATGGTCCCAAAATATCCGAGCAATGCTTTGACGGCATCTATGATCAGATACTCGTTACGTACAAATATTTTCTATTTTTAAAATCCATTTTGCACAGCTGTATAGTAGAACGGAGGAGATTTGTATCCATGATTAATAACAAACACTAATAATCGACCTAAAAGTTACTCATACCGAAATGGAAGATTTTGTGCCGTTGATGTGCAACTTTGAAGTAACTAATCAATTGAACATCAAATTAATTATTTTTTAGGTATCAATGCCAAGGTTAGACTTGATAGTTTCAAATAGAATGAGTATTGAGTAAAAAGTCAATAAATATATTTTCGTTATATACCAACGAGTAGAAATATTATATTTCTGGCGTTTCGTGACTTAATGTAAGCCACTTCTGTTAAATAAGCAACTAAAGTTAGCAGTGCAAATTCTCTTATAAATCCTTTTCTGTTAAAAAAGTTAACGGCAAAATCTTATTTCAGCAGTGTACAGTGAAGCACTACATGTTCTTGTTAGACACTTAATTTTATGCATTAAATTACTTTCTCAACAACTGTTATCAACAAGAGAAAAATAAACTTGAATCATATCATTGTTGTCCTTAGATTTTCATAAATGATTTCTGCTCACTGTCGCTCGCGCTTTTTTGATACTTTTAGAATATATGCCAAAAATAGTCCTGAAATTATGGTTAAAAATCAAGTTTCTTAGGCTGGTTTGATTGCTATAAGAATAAACAGTTGAAACCTATCTGACGAACAAAACAAATAAAACGTACTACCATAGTGCACTATACATATAATATTCCACTGTTAAAATCGAAGTAAATGAAGTGATTTCTCGAAGTCGTGTTTGGGTAGTTGAGAGTTGAACTCTAAAGCATCAATCCGTGGTTTACATCATTCATTTTCAGTTCAATAATGACATGTGTAATGAATATTGTTTTAAACCTCATTAATTACCATATTTTTCTCTCATTTATTTCAGATATAAAAGGTATGACAACATATGAATTTATAGTTTTACAACGTCAAAAATCTAATCCATCTACTGAAAATCAAACATCTAATAATGTGGATCAAAGTAAAAAGAAAAATCTGTTCTGTAGTATTAAATATATTGATTTATGTGAAAAAGAAGATATTGCTGAAATGTCATCACAGAGTCAATCAAATGGACCATTTACTACAAGTAGTAAAGTTGTTTTATCTTTACCATCCACTGGTAAATCATCCGATCAACCAATTGTAACAGGTGATTTAGCCAATAATAGCAGTAGTATTTGCTCAGATAGACCACAAACTATCTCTAATAGTAAAATATTTTCAGATGGAAAAGAATGTCTGCCTTCAATTTCAACGTCTAATTTCATATCAGAAAGTACACAACAAGATAATCCGGTATATTTATCGTCCCTAGGCAAAGTGAGTATATATTTAACTTTTTTGATTTATATGTAACATTGTTTGCAATTTATTTGCTTTTATTTGACGTTTGAGTTGCATAAGGTAAATTTCAACAAATGTAGCCATCTATTTTTACGTTTAAACATAGTCATTAAATTAATATTCGATCAGTATTTTAGTTTTTTCCGTGTTATTCAAATAAATCAGTTTTGTTTATCAACTAAATAATCATGCAGAAAAATTCTATTTAATGGTGCTGTTATAGTGGAGGTTTACTTTTTAGTGATATTGTATCGTGTAATTTGTTCCTTTCAGTATGCTCACTTACGTACGTCTGTTATTCCTTGTGGACACAGAGACCACCGACCGGAATTCCCCAACATACTCTGTCCTAGGCTCTCTTTTCCATTTATTGCTAAGTGCTATTCATTCTTTTGATGCTTGTTTTCAATTCCCTTCTCAATGTGTTCTTGGGTCTCCCTCTTTTCCTTTGGCTTTGATGATCCCAAGTCAAGCCTTGTTTCGTGATGCAGTTTGACGACTTCCCTGAAGTGTGTCTTGTCGTATCTTTTTTCATCAACTGAGGTCTGGTTTGTTCTCTGCCAAAGTCGATTGTTGTTGTTGGTGTCCGGCCAACGAATTTGTAATGGCTTGCGTAAACAACTGTTTATAAATACTTGTACTTTTGGATGATGGTTATAGTAGTTCTCTAAGTTTCAGCTCCGCACAGTAGAATTGTATTGACGTTCGTATTGAAGATTCCGAGTTTGGTGTTGGCTTGCAGACAGTTGTTTTGAGTTCCATATGTTCTCCAACTGTAGGTTTGTGGCATTTGCTTTGCCGATCCTTGTCTTTACCACTGACATAAGATCTTGTTTACCGATGATGCTGACCAAGTTCGTGAAAGTTTCCACCTCTTCTAGAGTTGCTACATCAAGTGTGGTTTGGTTGGTGCTCACTATGCTGTATTTGAGGATCTTACTTTTTTCCTTGTGTATGTTGAGGCCTACTGCTTCAGAGGCTGTTGCTACACTACCTGTTGTCACCTGCATCTATATGAGTTAGAAGAGCTAGATCATTTTCAAAGTCCAAATCGCCTTGTTGCATGCGTGCTGTCCATTGTATCCCGTGCTTCCCTAACGATGTTGAGGCTTTCATAAGCCGAAAGAGGAAAGGCGAGAGTAAGCAACGTTGTCTAACGCCGGTCTTTACGTGGAACACATCTGTAAGCTACTCTTCATGGAGGACTTTACGGTGTACCCGTCATAAGAATTCCGTATGATGTTGATTATCTTCCCACGTACTCCATGTTTTGGCAGGAATTTCTCTGCACGCGTTTGAATGCTTTCTCATAGTTAAGGGAGTTGATTTGTAGTGGTGAATTCCATTAAGTTAATTGCTTAACAATGATACGTGATGTCAGGATATGGTCGGTATATGATCGATTCTTACGAAAGCCAACCTTATCGTCTAGAAGTTGGGCGTTTACTAAATCTTTCGTTCAGTTTTGAAAAACGTCTATGCTACTGACAGTAGTGTGTGCCTCTGTGGTCGTCACACTTGCTTAGGTCACGTTTCTTTGGTATCTTGATGAAGTATCCCTCTATCCAGTCTATTGGCATTTGTTTTTCTGCCCATAATCTTCTTAGGTGGATGTGCAACGTCCTTGCAGGTACTTCTGTTTTTGAATTCAGTGCTTCAGCTTGTATTTTGTCTGGTACTGCTGCTTTCTCACTCTTAGCTTGTCCGATGGGGACGGTCAAGATTATTCTTGTACGTAAGGAATCTACTATATATATATATCAGATACGACTTTGCGATAGAAGAATTATCCGACTAGAAAATAACAAATGTCATGCTAAATATGAATTTAAAATTGTGCTCTCGTTTATCGCAGCAAGAAACAACTAACCCTTATTTACAAAAGTCATATATGACATCCTTGTTATATGCGTTACTTAATATTAACGATCTTAATATTCTCAGCCTAATTAGTATTTGGGTTTGTGTTTATCGTTACAGTTTTCGGATCGTATTACAGCAATCCCTAAAGCGTACTATATTGATAATATTGATATGGTGTTTTTAAATGACCTAAAATTCACTTCATATATTCCTCCTTTAGACGTATTCATCGTAAGTAGCCCCTTTTTCTTTTCATATATCCAACGTTAGATTACTAGAAGATCTAAGTTTCATGTAAGCTTTGGTTGTAGTTTTCGAAAGGAATAATCTAAAATCATGATGTACTGCACTTTTGTTTGTTTCTAGCTTGAGATTCCTCATCTTTATCCTTGATACGAAATTCAAATGTCTCATTTTACAAAAAGAAAAACACAAATCACCTATCAATTATACAAAAATATTTTCGAAATTAACTTGAGAAATTGTTTTTTTTTCATTGTGAATAGGTTATCTATTTTATGCTGTACGAAGACTAATCGATTATATATATATGCACATATGTACTTTTTCACTAGAATAAACGTCGATTTATATTCTCATTTATGTAATAACGATTATTATTATTATTTTATCAATGGGGAAAATGGGTGGAGTTTGCTCTATCATATTAGGGCTAGAATATCAATAATTCAATGTAACAGTTATCGTTAACTGCCTTTTTTATAAAAAAAAATAGCTATTTAGATAAAAGAAGGTAGTTTTATTATAATTTCATTGTTTTTGTAAGTCTTTTTTTCTCGTTTAATTTTTGCGTGAGAAAGTCAATTGATGTTACTTCTTTTTTTTCCTCTTTCCATGTTTGACTAATTTTGTTGTAATATTATCTAACTATGTAAATTTTGCATTGTATAAAATAAAAAAAAATTATTTCTGTTTTGTTATGATTTATACTTTAGAATTCTGATTTACCTCTTGATGTAAATAAACGTGATCTAACACGGTAAGTTCATATGAGTAGTTCTGTAGTATTACATTACTGAACTTTAAAAACAAAACACTTTATTTTAAAGCAATTATTCCCTTGTACAAATTTTTTTCATGGGACGATCAGAAGATGGAATTGATGTTAACAAATTTTTTCATCGATAATTAAATGTTTAATGTATCATAGCGTTAACATCAACACAGCTTTCAAAACGTATAGTAATTGTCCAGGGCGCATTCTGAAATTTAGAAAAAGAAACCTTAACTATCAGAATACGCAGACTTCCTTCATGTGTATAGAAACAATTAATTATAACCTTAAATCTACCTTGATAATCTTTATCCATTTCATAGCCTAGGGTGACCGCAGTTTCCTATTATTTCCATTTTATATTAATTTTTTTTCTTTATTTTCAGCTATCACTACGTTTATTTTAACTTTTATTTAATTGACCTCTATTCGTTTTTATAAATGTCTTGACAAGTATACATATAACCGGATTATTCGAAATTTATACTTCGAATAAATCACATTTTTTTCAGATCAATTCCATCTCGTTACTCTAACAAAAATTTATTTTCAACTATTTTCTTAGTGTCTATCCAATAGACAAAATATACTAGCTGATATCAAGAGGCAATATATGTTTATATTTCATAAACTTTATTATCAGTGAATTACAATAAAATTATTTTAATAAGTGAAATTACTGAAGATGGTTGTGTATTTAAATAGGTTACTTATTGTCAATGCAAAAATAAATCTGCAACTAACTGATCTTATAACATGTCACGCCAAATTTCTAACAGTAGATACCGTTTATCTAGAGTGCTCTAAACAAAAACTCTGCATCAATTTATATGGTTTAATCTAATGGCTAATGGTTTCATGGATTGACTTCATAGTAACTCTTAGCTCTTTCCCGGTCTGCTCCTACGTCAGCTGTCACTGAGCATCGGGGTAAGTGGGGATTAGGCATATATATATATATATATATATATATATATATATATATATATATTTATATATATATATATTTATATTTATATTTATATTTATATATATATCCCAACTGCCTAAGTCAGTGGAGGTTTGTAGCCTCACCGATCCGACTTACTATATCTACTTCGTACTGCGCAACTAACTTCATGATTACTCACAGTAGTCAATAACAATTTAGTGATTGGTTTTAATATGGTTTTAGAGTGAAATTATTTAAACCTTAAGCCTTTTTATCGATAAATGCTTCCTATAACCGAAAGGCATAAAATAATTTAATAATATTGGAATGAATTTCGTGTTTAGAATATTTCAGTGAACCCATATTTAAATGATGTGTTTATCTATTCATCTTTCTAAATATTGTTAGGTATTTTGATGGTGAAAAAATCGCATTTATTCATAATGTCATAATTTTACTTGGATAAACTTGATTTTCCATGCTTGCCTCAAATCTTTAATCGTCCATTAGTCCTCATTAACATAAAATCAGGCACATATTTGCATCTGTTCAAACCACCACACCATTTCGGTACAGAGCAATAAAGTTATCAAGACAATTTCCAGATTATTAGAAGTAGTAATGGGATCGGTAGTAGTAGTTGCAATAGTAGAGAAGATTAGGGTGTAGACACTATAATTCGAGAAGCTAGGATAAACTCACGGAGAAAAATGTATAAGATAATTTTAAAACGCAAGATCTAAGGAAAGTCGAAGAATGTGTTGATGATAAATAGTTGATCAAATTACTTCATTTTTTTAGATTATCATTTAGTAACAGTTCAATGAAATATTTAATTTGGGTTTTTTCGTGGTGATTTTTAACTCAGCTTTTATAACATGTCGAAGAAAATTTTCATTAATAACTGCAGTTACTTATTACCTGAAGATAATTCTTTGCTTTTTAACACAGGGTAGATAGTGATGTTTCACAAGATTTGAGTTATTATAACACTAGTGGTGATGAGATTCTCAGCACAAGAGCAATCACAGACGAAATTGAGTTGAAGTCAATCAGCCCAAGTGATGAACTTGTTTCATCTGAACGAATCACCGACTCTACTATTACACAATCCAATAGTACAGAATCTACAAATACACTTACAAAAGAGGATGATAGTTCAGTGATACCTAAGGTAAAATTATTTCTGTACATGTTTACTTCAAAGTATGTTTTTCTCGGTTTTCCATGAAGTACTTATCGTAAATATTTTAGTTCAATGCAGTGTATGTTATGTTAGTACGTTATTTTATGACATTTCGCTTTCTACTATCATCCACTTTGAATTTCGATGCTGATGTCATACAGATAAGCTAAGATATTGACAAAATATAGTTTCCTGTTACCTTTATGAAGATGGGCTAATGTTTAGTAATCTATAACATTATTTTATATCTATGCATAGGTGATTGGGGTATACAATCCGTAGACTTGCTAATTAATTCATTAATTAGACCATGAAAAGTTTATCATTAGTGAATCATTATCATGAAAGAGAGAACTGATTATGTATTGTGGAATGTAAACCGTAACTTTGTTTGCTTACTAATTACTAGATTTCTAAGGTTGTACTTTTAAAAGTATTTTCGCATAACATCACACGTAAACTGTACTTCATGGCCGAGAGTATAAACCCGGAATGTTATTGTATGATCCAGATGGTGTATGATATTACAGTAGTAATGACATTATTGATTATGTTTACTGAGAACAGATTGTAGCTGATTATATGAAGTATTTGAAGAAAGTAGCGGAAATTTCCAATCTATTCACTATATAAACTTATCTCAGTTTTCCCACATATTCGTGCACCAACCATTCTCTATCGGTTTCGTTTCTCTCAGTTTTTATGAAGGTTAAATATTATACATAAATTTTCTTAAATCTTTGTATACTTCATGAATTTCTTCCTTTTCACAGGTACCTCCAGTATTACGAAAAACATAGCGTTATATTCGTATATATATATATATATATATATATATACAAAGTTTATGTTATCTACCATTTCGGCTGGAGACAAGATAATGTCACATTGTGAAAAGGACTCATTGCCAAACCTTACTTGTAAACACGCGTTGCAAACTAATTTTTCTTTTTTATTGATATAATCTTGATTTCTATTGACTAACAGTAGTGATATTTCTTATTTATCAGTTGGTATTTTATTACTATTACTATTCCGATCTATTCACTTCTAATTCGTTATTTAATTTCATTCTGTAACTGAATAATAGTATCTCTGTACTCTCTTCTTTTTTTGTTAAAATCCCCATTTCTCAATGTGTATATTTTGTATACAAACTACTCGTAAATATTATCGTTAGTAAGAACAATCATTTTCTCTTTGTAATGCTATTTTTATGCATGCCTTAGTTAGACATTTTGCTCTTCGATGTAATCAGTGTGGATATTTTTAGGAAAATGTAAATTAAAAGACTGCTTAAAAGTGAATTCAAGTTAGATTTTATTCCAAAAGTAAGTTACTTGAAATTCATTTTCATTGTTGGTATTGTTGGCTTTTTTAAACTCGACTAACCGCCTCCCATAATTTAACGTATACTCTTACATGTTCAGTTTATCAAAATCTTACTTTTCCATCGATCATTGAGTTCTTTTCGTTACTATTTCAAGAGTTCATAAGAGTCCGTCATTACGTATGTATTTACATCATGAAATATAGTGTCTTCTCAACTTAGATATTTTGCTTATTTATAAGTTGAGTAGTATTACTCTGTCCGTCTGTTGTTTAAAGTCATTGTATCAACTGGTTCCCTAAAGGTTCAAAATCTGACAGAAAAATAATCGCTTTCATAACTGCTAACGTGTAAATTTCATCTCTATTATTCTGTGGAGAATTTCCTCATTAAGGAGAAGTTACATGTACATACAATACTCGGTCGTTCTAATTTTTGCACTGAATATTCAATACTATATTCAAATGAGGTTTGATTTGCCAAAGTAAATCTACCTTTGTTGTCTTTATTACTTTTTTTTAGAAAATAATTAATGGGGACGTTATTCCTAAGTTTTATTAATAACTTATATATCAAGTAGTGGAGTATTCTAATAATCATTGAAAATACAAGTTAAATGAAGAGATTTTTGTTTTTAATTACTTACAATGATCAACACATTCTTTGCATTACCCTCAAGAGTTATCAAGTTTAAAGATAAATACCATATATATTACTGATTACCTGTATCTGTATTAGGAATTTGACAGTTCATTTGCTTTTAACACTAAACACTTGGTGTTAAGGATTGCACATAAAGGTGAAATGATAATAGACTTCCAAAATGTAAATTTAAATTAATATCAATCCTATTATAGATCTGTTTTATTGAAAAAAAATATTTACCTTTCCTCGACGGATTGATCAATAAATATTACTTGCAATACAACAAGACTAATTATTTTAGATCATGGTCCTTGCGTTTCTAAAGAAAATATAGACGAAATGGAATATATTCTCATTATGTATTGAAAATTATACTTTGTAAACTCCGTCTTTTGTATCGCAACAGTAGTACCCTGTGAGCAATTACATCTGAGTGATTATATTTTAAAAGTACGTAAATCAAATGCTTATTAAATTATGTATAAGCACTGATCGATTAACTTTTTCTCACATATCCAATTGTACATAATACCATTATCTAATTGATTCATTTTCCTCAGTAATGTGAAACACTAATAAGATGTTTACTATTTATGTAGGGGTTTGTGTTGATTATTAATGTTTCTTAGATTGCATCGTAAACTAGTATTTAGACAACAACTGAAAAGCAGGAGACCCTGGACAGTTATCTCATCTTAGTGTAGGACTCAGAGGTGCATATCCACGGTCAGGGATGTTAACTATAATGAATGTTTTTTGCTTAAGTTGAATCCTCATTCCAGTCAGTGGATTTTGTTCAGCTGTGACAATGTGTGTCAGCAATTATACTTTATAAATTATGTTGTGGTGTTATTTAAAAAACAAAAGGTAATCTATTTTTGTTGGTTTTTACTAACCGCACTTGGTGGTAATAGTTTCCACTTTGAAGTTCTAGAAATACAGTGATTTTATTGTATCCAATTTTCAGAAAACAAAGGCAGTATTAGGTTATTGGAATCAACATAATAACTTTTACTAATGCCACTCGGATTAAAAATAGACTATAGTAAAGTCCATATAACACTAATTAAATTGTAGTCAATTAATACCAATGAAAATATATTGCAAAACACTTTTCATTTACTAAATATACTGTACAGCAAAATAATATTTGTTGAATTGTGTTTTAGTCTTTACGTATTTTTGTTGTCAAATAATTTTATCAATGAGAAGTCATGACGAGAAAAGGCATTAACTCTTAGATCTTTATATATGACTAGTCTTTCTTAACCCACTAGGTCTCATTATATTTAGTTATTAAAGCGCTTCACTGCTAACCAGTGGATAATATATTATGACCCTTCCACCAGCTATATAGGTTCGGACATCGTTTGTATCTATAATTATCCGTAGGTCGAACTGAGTGCACATAAATGTACTTCGCCAAAGCATTTGCATAAATACTAGTCTAAGCTGTATAGTATCTTATTCGTCTAGTTAGTCAATAGTTCTTTATTCTGAAATTTTGTTGAGTTGGAAAATTGGTTCCATGACGTGTAGGGGTACGTCAGTCACTTCAACATTTAACACATATACGTGTAATTGAGTAAATTAAGTTGTTGTGGTTAGCTAATTGATGGTTTTGGTTTATCTTTCCAATTTTTTAACCAATAGATAAACATGGTTCTCTACAGTGGTTAAGATAATGTTTGCATACTGAAACAATAATAAAGAATTATAAAGGAAAATACCTGAATATCTCTCGTACGGATCTTCTTTTGTGTACCATATATATTACTAAAATGAAATCAGTGGTGTAGGTTGTACTCAACAATTTAGACAGCTTTGATCATTAGGGATTGATGTGTGAAAACACATTTCTTTAGCTGGATTGGTTTACATCAGTACTTTACAAAAAGTAATATTCATCGTGGACAATCTGACGGAGTTGTCAACCAACATATTGTGAGTAAAGGAATATATCTAGGACTTTCACTTCTTTAGTGCTACTAGTAATCAAAAACCCTTCGTTTAGCGATTCTTGAATCTGAGCAACTGAATAACAGAAAAAATGTGCATTGTCTGGTTTAAGACAACACTTTTCTATTATTTTCGTGCACACAATGGGGATCTATGTAAATTGGAGTACTGGTGTATAAGTACGTGTCACTTTTAGAAGTGATATTCCGATATAACTTATCTTTTAATAATAAAACAGAAGTGAGAATCACAGAATGATTTGGACAATTAAAACGGTGAACGGTCACTGAAATAACAGTCTTAATAAAACTAACATTATCCTCAATATGATCTAGTTTCTGAAGAATGGCCAAATATTTTTCTGTACATGCAACCTTATTTGGCGTAGGTCATCAAATGGCGCAATCTGTTAGCTGTTGCTTGAAACAAACTGATCATGCTCAGGCTTAGATATTCATGTCTGAAAATACTGAAGCTTAGCGACTAGCTCAGAGCTTGTAAGGTTAAGTTCAACTTAATTTTGTGGCTTTGCATGTAAATATGTAATTCATCTTAGCTATTTCTAACTGGGTAAGGCAATAAACTGAGGACTGTTATATTTATTATTTTTGCGTTAATGGATCTAATGTTACTGTTCCTGAAAGTATATTTACTCATTTGGATAACCTATCATGTTTAGTTAATCAACTAGCTATAACATAGGACCAGGCATATATGTACATCGGTCCAAGTTGCCATACCTCATTAGCACAACAAGATGAACACCGGATTCATAGAAGTAGTTAATTCAGTGGTGGTAATATATAAAAGAAAGATTACGTTAAAGGACATAGTACAGGAATAAAGAATTAGTTCGTAGAAAGAAAGATATGAAGCGATTTCAATCTCATAGTTTAAAGGAAGACAGAGTGTATACACCTAGGCCATTGTGATCAATTCTGAGTCGTTACACAGAGTCTTCAACCATTGGTTACGATAGTCATGCGGACTCCAACCAAGTAGTTTGTATCTACCAACATGGCTCAGATGAGAAGTTGGTGAATTCAACCACTGATGCCACGTTTCGGTTTGTTTCGTAGAGATCTAATGATTGTGAAAAGGATTAAATCGATTGAAAAGTGAAAAATTTCTAAATAATATCAAGGCTATGCTTTTTTATAATTTGATGATTTTATATCAATACTTGCCAGTAGAATTTCATTAAACGTTATACAAGACGAGTCACCAAACTCATGGATAGATTTATTAGAAACAGTTTTGAGAAAGTAGTCCTATTTCCTGCTAACAACTTTTTACAGACATGAAACTATTATTCCTAACATCATGGTAGGCGGAGATCTGAAACAACTGGACTAGGCATCTTCACTGTATGATTCTAATAGTCATATAAATTCTCTATTTACAACTTCGAGTAATTCATTTCATATTCAAAAGCGACTGCATTTATCCAGTGGTGTTTTTTACGATCTTATTTTTGACACGGGCAGTATCATTTCCATCATTTCTGTTGCAAAACTAAAGTCATTAGATCCCGATGTAATACTTAAGCCTGCCGAGGTTTCTATTTCGAGTACTACAGGTCACAGAATTTCCATTCTTGAGTGTTGGAATTTTCTGATTAAAGACCACAAACATTCACACCTAAACGGTCAATTCCTTGTCACTGATTGTGCTCATCTGGTTCGTACTGATTCAAATTGCTTTATTTCAGGAGTACTTATTTAGCACATTAATTCCAATATTTCTCATTATCATAGTTTCGACCCTAGATTTCAGACTATTTTTTAGTATTCTGGAGTTTATATATAGTACTAAACTGGTAGGCTTATCACTGTGTGGTTGACTGCCTATTTTATGACTTACCAGAACATTTGATCTTATGTACAAGTTACGTGACGTT